ACAAATTCATACCAAACTAATTTTTTTATTACGAAAAACCCCAAACTTGTTTACTTGTGACAAATTTACCCCAAACTAAGTTGTTAACCTCCAAAATTCCCAAACTGGTACATCTATGATAAATTTACCCTCCGTTAATTTCCATCAAATTTTACCGTTAAATTTGCTGACCTAGATGACACATGGTGACATGGTATGGTGGTGTGACAAGTCCACGTGGAAATTCATAGGGTAAATACTACGAAAAACCCAAAATTGGTATACTTGTGACAAATTGACTATATTAGTTTGGAATTTTTCATGATATTAACCCTATGAATTTTCACATGGACTCGCCACATCACAATACCATGTTGCCATGTGTCATCCACATTAGCAAATTTAACGGTAAAATTTGACGGAAGCTAACGGATGGTAAATTTATCACAGATGTACTAGTTTGGGGTTTTTCATGGTCAAAAAATTAGTTTAGAGTAAACTTTTCACAGGTGTATCAGTTTGGGGTTTTAGGTGATCAAAAAATTAGTTTGGAGTAAATTTGTCTCAGATGTACTAGTTTAGGATTTTTTATGGTCAAAAAATTAGTTTAGGATAAATTTATCACAGGTGTATCAATTTGGGGTTTTTTTTTTTGTATTAACCCTTCTTTTTTTCCTTACGTTGGAAAAAGTACGCTTTCTTTTTATCAGCCTTCTCCATGCTATCATTGCTTGTTGAAGCTATGTCAGACAAAGTCGATGTATGCTCCTTATTGGCATTTTCAGAAATAACCAACCTTGAAAGACAATAGGCAAAAATTGGAAAGTATTATTATTTCATGGACTTCTTTTTATCTCTGAATTATGCTCAATTTAGATTTTTTTTTCTTTTGTTATGATTTTCACCTTTCCTTTCCTTGAAGATTTAGTTCACGTTTTATTCCTATTAGAGTTCTCCATCAGCAGCAAGTTCCCCATACAGATAGAGGTGTAATAGATGGCCCAATAAAAGCCCAAGCCCATGTAACCTAGTTTCTTTTCCTCCTTCAACAGCTTGTGCATTTGAAGCACAAAAGAAAGAGAACTAAGCAAGCAACAGAGAAAACAAGGGAATAGAAGTGCTCGTTCGTGGAGAAGGGAAAAAAGGAAAAAGAGAGGAAAGAGGGAAAAATCTTGGCGCGTAGCTGCTCCGGACACCCCAACAAGCCAAATCAACTCCGAATTGTAACGCCTGGTAAGTATTCCAGCCCATTATTATTTTAATCGGAGTAATTTTCGAAGTTAGGTCGTAAATCCGAAGTTATGTCAATATTGAACTATGAGGTCCGATTGAGGAGTTGTTAAGCTATGGATATATATATATGTAAATGATAATTTAGGGTGTTGTGGAGCTGTGAGGTTTGACGAAAATTGATTTCGAAGTATGGTTTGATCGGAATGAATTTTTGAAGTTTAACGTGCGAGTTACGCGTAACGGACAAAGATGAATGTTCGTTATAAATGAGTTTCTTCATTAGCGCGTAGAAGTTGTTTTATCGACAGTTAGCTCAGTTTAGTTCAGTCGTTCATTAGAGTAGTGTATTACTCGGTTTTTTATATCTTTTTTCAATTAATTGATAAGAATATGAGTACATTGACTTGAGTAACCTTCATAGGATGGTTTTCAGCTTTCTCAGGTAAGTGGTAATATCTCTTCTATGATTTTACAAACTCATATCTTGAAAGTGATAGAGATTTAAGGTATGAAAGAGCATATTTCTTGCATCGATTGGATCGAACTTTTACTACATTTTTAGTTTGTCAAAAAGGCTTTGGAAAGCCTTATTTGAAATAGTTTGAAATGTTCATTTGTGAATGTTTTGATTAAATGCTTTGTGAAGGGAATTGCCAAAAGCTATATGTACTCATTGCGAAATACTTGATGAAATGCATTCTATTTGATAAACGGAATTGTGAAAGATTATATGATTCGGTTTGTGAAACTAATTTATGAGATGGTTCCTGGTTTTGGTTGTGAGTTATTGGAGATTGAGGTTGATAGATTATGCTCATGTCGCTATGATTAGAACCATTGAGAGGTATGCATAATGTTATCAAGACCTCCTTCTGGGCCAAACTACTGGCTAATGTAGGTGATGACCTAGCTAAGTGGGGTAAACTTGGTTGCCTTTGTCACAAGTGTTAAACGTGACCATATGTGACAATAGTTAGATATTTAGCATTAGATTAGTCGATAGAATGAACCATTGGCATTTGACTTGATTGAGATTGATCAATGGAATAGACAATTCATGGTTGATTTGTTATCGTTCGGTTGATATTGTCGATTGATCTTATATGTAAATGTTTTATTGGAAAAATATCATCCACTTTTGATACTTTACGGATATCGTGTATTGGATTCGGAATTGATGAGTTATGATACCGTTTTATAAATATGCATAGTGAATGGTCGATCCGCTTAGAAGATATGTATTACCCACTCGGCTCTAGTTGCTCATTCCATTCATCTTACTTGCTTTTCAGCTTCTTCAGCGAGCCACAAGTAAGTTGAGAGCATTATTGTTATCAAGAGGACATTTTGATAGTGGGGAATTTTTATTATGAGTTGTATATAGCTATGATGAACTTTTTAGTTAGTTGTTTATTGAAGATATATATATATATCTTTTTGATGGATTATAGAAATTCGGGAAAATTCCAAATAAGGACCTGAAATGCCTTCATTTTCTCAATTAAGAGCCTGAAATGTCCTCAATTTCTCAAAAAAGGGCCTAAAGTAGACTTTGTGTCAAATAGTAGCCTGAAGTGGCTATAGCCATTTCAAATAAGGGCTTGACCTCGCCAATTGCCGACCAGCTAAATATTCCAACTGGTCAAGGACATTTTCGTCCAAAGACAATTTTAAAATGTAAATTTTTTTTTCTTGTTTCTTTTTTTTTTCTTTCCGGCTAGGGCCCAATGACCCTCAATGGCCACTAGCGAGGGCCTGCAAGCCCTTCCTGGTGGCTAGGGGCGAGGGCCGGCTGCTAGGGCCAGGGCTAGCCTCGCCTGTGGCTAGCAAGGGCGACCCTCACTTGTGGCTTTCGAGGACGACCTCGCCCAGGGCGAGGGTCGCCTTGCCAAGGCTGTCCCATGCCCAGCCCTCTCCGAGCATTGCTAGTGGCTAACCACCGACGAAGAAGAATGAAAAAACAAGAAAAAGGAAAAAAGAAAGAAAAAAGGAAAAAAGGAAAAAAAGGAAGAAAAAAGAAAAAAAAGGGAAAGAATTAAAAAAAAGGTAAAAGACGAAAATGCCCTTGATCATATGGAAAGTCAGGACCGACATAGCCACCTTACGCCCTTATTTGAAACAAGATCTACTTCATACCCTTATTTGAGAAAATAAGAGCATGAAAATGGGGGCACTTGAAACCGTTATTTGGAATTTTTCCTAGAAATTCTAATATGTAACTAGATGACTTTTTTTTTATCAAATATATTTCAATATCAGGTTGAGTTATGGTTACGTGAGACTACGTCCTTCGATTGAAAGGACGGTCGTGTCATTGCCCTTGTTCTTGTAGAGTTGGGAGTGTGACAAGAGGCATCTATCAAAAAGATATTTCGGAGGCTTTGGGATCGAGGTATCATAGGCCAAAGAAGACCCTGGCCGAACGAGAAACATGAAAAGTAAATGAATAATAACTAGGAGACATTTCACTTGTACGCACCGTTTAGTAATGTACACTTTCATCACTATTCACTTTCTCATTGTACGCACTGTTCATTTCACTTGCTGACTTTCCTCTTATCTTGGAGCTTCTTCATAAAAACTTATGAACATTCCGCGTGCCGTACAATCTTCTACCTTAAATTCAACATAACACCTAGAAAATAATAGCATGTGCATATATTTCTCGTAATTGAAAACTTGAAGTAAGTAGATAAACTGACATTGTCTATGACTATGCAGAGAACTTATCATTGGGTAGTTAAGAGCTTCGATGTTGTTACCCCAATAAAAGCTTGTTTCTGTCACCGCCATCATTCTCTTACAACTGCAAGAAATGTAGAACCAACCACTCTTTTTTTCGAATGCTCTTGATAGTTGCCTACAAATAAAAATTTATATAGTACTCCATAAACCGTAAACCCTAAAAAAGAGTGGTTGGTTCTATCAACCATGTTACTCTTACCACTATTGTAGGCCGATGAAGAGCGTTCTTGAGATTGACATTCTTGAAAAATTAGCTCAAAGCTGAACGTTTTATCACATTTTGCAATCTTTTGTTATTTTTATTCAAAAGTACAATGTTTACTGTTCATCAGTTCTTATGTTTTCAAATAGTCTTTCTGCCAAATGTATTAAAGCCAAAACCAGGAAAATTGAACGGGCGAACTTTTGTAAGTTGGTGATGTTTTGGTGCTTATTAAGCATGTTAAGCATGAAGTGCCTGTTGGAGCAGTGCTCTCGCAGATTAAGGTATGCTGAGCTAGATCCAGTTAATATGAACATCATCCAGAGTGCGTCAATAAAAGTCACTTAAGTCTAGCAGCAACACCAATATAGAACCATTTGCAAGTTGCAGCAGCCATCACAACATGATCCACTTGGTAAAGATCTCATTTGCAAAGGTGGAGGAGGACTTGGTTGCCATGGAAAATGGGAAAATTGACCAAAAAGTCCTGAACCTATTACACTTTTACTAATTCAATCCGAAACCTTTCAATTTTGCCAATTTTTTTTTTGTCGAAAGCTAATGCCATTTCATTCATTTAAAGACGGACTACAAGAGTGAAGTTGACTAACGTCATTACATAATAAAACCCAAAGAGATTGGGGGGGTTTATACAACCAGTTAGAGGGAAATGTCCCTTTACGATGGGTCTTGGCGATCCAGTCTGCGACATGGTTGGTTTCTCGTGGACAGTGGGCCAGAGAGATACCTTGCAATTGGGTGAGTAGTACATTGCAGTCCTCAAAAAGTCTTCTCAAAGCCCATGGGCTGAGGGACGGTTGCTCAGTAAATCTCACAATCGCTACACTGTTTGTCAAGATGGTCACTTTCTTTGCGAGACCGTTATCCTTCTCAGCCGCTTCATGCAGACAGAGGATAGCTTCCATCACCGCTTTGCCTTCAACTTCCAGAGGAGAACAAGCAGCCACCCCTTTTGCAAACCCTGTAATTATCAAACCCCTATGATCTCTACAAACTCCACTCACCGATCCCTCTGTTCTGCCTTCAATCCACGAACCATCAACGTTGAATTTCCACTGCCCTGTTTCTGGTTGTGTCCAGCGTTCTGTCGATGCCTTCTCTGGCCAGGTGTTGCGTTCGGGAGAGTTTTGCATGCTGTATATTCTGCTCAGATTGATTGCATCGTCAACAATTGGTCCCGATTTTGGGCTAATCCGTCGGAACACCTGAGCGTTTCTAGCATTCCAGATCTGCCATAGAATTCCTGCCAGCAGTTCTCGGCGGGACGGATTGCCACCAGTAAGTGCTTCATCTAACCACTTATCCATTATTGTTAAGTTTGTCGGTGAAACGTCTATCTGTAGTCTCTGATCAGACCAGATTTGCTTTGTCCAGTCGCATAGGATGAAGGTGTGCTCCAACGATTCTGGAACTTGCCAGCAAATTGGGCAAAGCGGGTCAGTAATCACCTTTCTATTGTATAAATTCTCCGTTGTAGGTAGGGCGTTCCGGCACACACTCCACAAGAAGAAACGAATTTTAGGTTCTGTGCGAATTTTCCATATCTTGGACCATAGAGAGCAGGGCTGCTGATATGATGATGAGGCTTGTTCTGTGTTTTGCTTGGGTAGGGATGCTCGAAGTCTTGAGTATCCATATCTGACTGTGTATTCCCCTGATATATTGCCATTCCATATTTGCTTATCACTTTCCAGGTTTGGTTGGATTCGTGTGGAAAGAATTTCGTTTACAACCTCCTCCTGAAACAACCTTTGTAGCTGGTTTTCATTCCAGGTTCTTGTCCTTTGATCAATCAATTCTGCTACTGTTTGAGGGTCTTCTCGATTTGTTGGACCTCCTATGAGATTCTGATCCAGCCATTTATCCTCTCTAATGTTGATGCTCTCACCATTCCGTACCACCCATTTAACATCGGAGCTGATGGCATCCCTTCCCATTATCAAACTTTGCCAACCCCACGATGGTCGGGAGCCCTTTTTTGCTTTCCATAAACATCCGTTTGGGAAGTAAATTCCTTTTAGTAGCTGGCTCCATAATGCATTTGGTTCTTGAGAAAGTCTCCATGCTTGCTTTCCTAGCATGGCTTTGTTGAAGGTAACTAGGTCCTTGAAGCCCAATCCGCCATCTATTTTCCTTTCTTTAAGGGTGTCCCACTTTTTCCAGTGTATACCTGATTTAGATGAATTCTGTTTCCACCAAAATGATGCAATATTCTGCTCAATAGCTTTGCAAACAGAAATTGGGATTTTGAAGATAGACATAGCATATTGTGGAATTGCTTGTACCACGGTTTTGATTAAGATCTCCTTGCCCGCCTTTGATAGCAACTTTTCCTTCCATCCCTCCAGCTTCATATTTACCCTGACCAATATCCACGCACACATCTGTTTTTTTGTATGACCCCAATCAGATGGAATGTCGAGGTATTTCCCGATTTTTTTTCATTATTGGTACTCTCAGTTCGACAGCAAGATTGTTTTTAAGGCTTTGAGGGCAGCCCGCACTATAGAATATACCCGATTTGTTCAGGTTGATAGCTTGTCCCGATGCAAAGCAATATTGATTTAAGATATTTGCTAGATTCTGACACTCCCCAATAGTCCCGTTTAGGAGAAATATGGCATCGTCGGCAAATAGCAGGTGTGACAAAGTAGGACAGTTCCTGTTCAGTTTGATGCCCTTCAGAGTCCCATCCTCCACTGCCTTTGATAGCATGGAAGAGAGCACATTTGCCATGATTATGAATAAGTAAGGAGATAGTGGGTCTCCTTGTCTAATTCCCCTTGATGGCTGGAAATACTGTAACGGCTCCCCATTTACCTTGACACTAAATGTGGCAGTAGAGATACACAGTTTCACCAAAGACACCCATTCCTCACAAAACCCCATTTTCAACATGCTGGCACAAAGGAAGTCCCACTCCACTCTATCATATGCTTTTTGCATGTCCAGCTTTAGGATCGCCTGGAACTTCCGTTTTCTTTCCCTAATTCTCAGTTGATGTAGAATCTCCTGGACTATAAGTATATTATCTTGAATAAGCCTCTCACAAACAAATGCACTCTGTCCTTTAGCAATAAGGTTTGGGAGCCAGGGCTTAATGCGGTTCGCCATCACCTTTGAAATGATTTTGTAGCTGAAGTTGCACAGGCTAATGGGTCTGAATTGTGTGATGCTTTCTCGGTTAGACACTTTGGGGATAAGCACTATGTGTGTTTTGTTGAGTTCTAGATCGAGATTGCCTGAATGAAAGAAATTGCTAACTAGCCTATGTAGATCGTGTTGTAAAAACTCCCAATGATGCTGATAAAACAGGCCATTCATCCCGTCAGGTCCCGGGGCCTTTGTTGCTCCTTGCTGGAAAGTCGCCTTCTTTACCTCATCTATGGACACTGGTGCCATTAGCGTCTCATTCATCCCCTCTGGAACTTGGAAAGAGCATTGGTCTAGTATAGGGCTGAAGTTCCTAGTTCCCACAGATTCGTACAAAGAGTCATAAAAATTGGCAATGTGTTGCTTCAAACCATGGGGATCTCGGCACCACATATCGTCTACTTTCAACATTGAGATTTTGTTCCTTTGTCTTCGTTGAACCGTAGCGGCATGGAAGTATTTGGTGTTTTTATCTCCGCATTTGATCCAGTTAATCCGCGATCTCATCCCCTAATAAAGCTCTTCCTGCTTCCACAACTTCTGAATTTGCATTTTGATTTGCTGTATTTCTCTTTTGCTGCTATCGCCATTTATTGTGTTTGTGAGGGTCGTAAGTCTTCTTTTTAATGCCTCAATCTGGTTATAGGCATTGGAGAATTTCTTTTTGCTCCACGAGTTCAATACATTGGTGGTTTTTTTTCAGTTTGCAAGCAAAAGCTGCCGAATTTTATTTCGGGCTGCACCATGTTTCCTTCACCAACTCCTTACACTCAGCATCAGCAAGCCAAAACGCCTCGAACTTGAATTCCTTCTTCCTTTTGGCCCGCCCTGGGAAGAGGGACAGGAGAATTGGGCTATGGTCGGAGCCTATTGCAGGTAAGGCATAGGCTTCCGCATTTGGGAACCGTACTCTCCAATTAATGTTGCAAAGGACCCTATCTAGCCTCTTTCGCACTAGTGCTTTACCTTCTCTGTTGTTGGCCCACGTGAAAGCGCAGCCCTTACTTTCTATGTCCATGAGTGAGCATCTATTTAGGCATTCTTGGAACGCGACAAGCCTGTAGTGCTCCGCCCTACACCCACCCTTCTTTTCCCAGGGGTACAAGATTTCGTTAAAGTCCCCTGCGCATATCCAAGGTAGGTGATTAGCTACATTTATCACCTGTAGATGATGCCACAGTCGAAGCCTTTCCTGGAAGTTTGTGGGGGCATACAGGAGAGTTATGCGCATAAGGTTGCCACTACCTTGATCCCTACACACAATGTCAATAAACTCTCTGGATTTATCTTCCACTACCACTGTCACCCCGTCATTCCACAATACAGCCAGCCCCCCCACGATACCTATAGGGTCAAATATCTCCATATTTTGGTATTGAATCCGCCTCCTCACTCTATCAACTACTGCACTCTTATTCTTAGTTTCCATCAAAAAGACTAAGTCAGGCCTATCTTGAGCCACTAAGGCTCTGAGGTGCTGGACTGTCAGGGGATTGCCCAGCCCTTGACAGTTCCAGCTCAGAAGTTTCATAAAACCCCTTGTGGCTTATTAGGGCTAGCCACCAAAGCCCATTCGTTCCTTTCTTCTGCCAAATGGATCGGAGCATCAAGGAGCGCCGCCTCGTTAATGGAGGGGCTGAGAATCTCAAGTAGACCAAGGGGGTTGATTTTTTTCTGTTTCCTTGCTGCTACTACTTTCTTAAATGATTTCGGCCCTATCTTCTCCTTCCTAGAATTCTTCGTCTGGCCGCCCCTTAAAACCGTCTCAAAATGGATAATTTAGGTGTCATGCTTTTCGAAGACTGGCTGATTTTTCCCTGACTTTTCTGCTTGTGAGTTCCTCTTCCTTGGCCTCTCATCCTGAGGCTTGTCTTCAATCAGTCCTACAGCGTCCTTGCCCTTCGAACTACGTAAATCCCGCTCTCTTGGGATGACTTCCCTAGGCGTCTCCGGGATTATCTCCACATCCTCATGGACAGGGATGTCTTTCCCGTAGAAGATCTTCCAGAATGGGATGTGTTCTCGTACTTCCGCTCTCAACCATTGGCCAAATTTGCCCCTAGCATTTTCGTCGAGCCCCGACTCCTCGAAGGGTATTTCTTTACAATAGGATGCATAATGCCCTATCCTTCCGCAAGAGTAGCAAAAGTGTGGAAGTCTTTCGTATCTGTAGTCCACCCATATCTTCTTGTACTCCAGGTTAACAATTGTTCCCGTCTTCAAAGGGTTGGAAAGGTTCATGTGGATCCTTGCTTTGCAGCTTTTATTAGGGCCTCCTCCTCTAGAATCAAATCTCACCTCTATCACTTTCCCAATTTTCCCTGCCTCCTCCCTTACCACTTCTTCTAATAATCTCTCTCGGGGGATGCATGCTAAGTGAACCCAAAAGTCACAGTGGGTAAATTCGTAACAATGGTCGGGGATATCAGGATAACCTTGTTGGAGTACAAGAAGGTTGCTAGAGAAGGACCATGGGCCTGTTTCCAGGACTCGCTTTTTCTCCTCTAACGAAGTGAATGAGAAGGAAAAGAACCCCGGCTCAATCAGCTCGCAGTCTACCTGATCTGTTTTCCACGTCCTCTTCATTGTACTAAGGAACGCCTGAAAGTTCACATTTGGTTTAGAATACAGTTTCCCATACAAAGTTAGCTCACATTCATGTTGTTTTTCTGCAGGGATGTCCCTTGTTAGCTGGACAATATCATCTTCTAGCCACATGTTCCCCAATTCTCTGCACAGGACAGCCAACCGGGCATCATTGTTTTCCTCACTTTCCATCGAAGGTGCTAACTGGAATAGGCCAAGTATTCTGTTCTGACTAAAACACTTGACTTTGAGCTAAAAAATCCCCTTGCATTTTGAGAATGTCTTAGCAAAACTGCTATAGAAAGCTGCTATTGAAGTTATTTGTTCTGATTTTCCTTAGAAGCGAAATACTTATCTGTTCTCATAGCATAATTGCCACAGGCAGAGGTGATAGATTCTTTTTGCACTTCATCTCCTTTATTGCAAAAGGCGCTAACTGCTTCGACTTGATCGAAGACTACCTGTAACAGTGATTTAACTAAGGGGTGAAAGGTAGTAGAAGGAGTTGGGAAGGAAGGGGTTCAAAGGGCCAACAAAGTGGGTGGGTCGGTTTGTAAAGGTAGGAGGGTGCGTATTTTTGGGGGGGTTTTATGTATAAGAAAGGTAGAGAGTCCCTGTCGATCGTGAAGCTCTCTGCTCCTTTAGCTAGGGAGGGAAAGCTTCCTTCCATCCCCGAGGTGGCAAGCTTCGAGAGGCTGAGATCTTCGCGCGACAAGCAGAAATATTGACTCCGGCTCGGGAGACTTTGGTTAGGGCACGCGTTACTGGGGTTAGACGAGGAGGAGGAATGGGACAACGGGGTTGTGGGGGTTAACTTACGGAAGGTTTGGAGATCAAAGCTGGGTTGAAAAGGGGGTCGAAGGTAATTAGGGTTTGGAAGTCAACTATCACCATGGGGATAGGGGGAGAATGATGTCCTACAACATAGATTCATGGCCCACTAAAGGCTTCTTTGAACTAATTTTGCCAATTGAGTTCTAAACATTTTCACCTTTTGCCAATTGAGTCTATCCGACATATTTTAGCCAGAAAATGCTAACTTGAACGCTAGCCGTTCTATGTGGCACGGCCGACGTTAACGTGGACAGTTTTAAATAATTTTTTAATAATTTTTTGAATTTTTTTACAATTTTTCTGATTCTTTTCCTTTCTTTTTTCCTATTCCTTTTGCTGGTGACTGAGGAATGACCACCGGCTAAGGACGGTAGCCAGCGAGGGCTAGCCTCCCCAAATTTGGCGAGGCCAACCTTCGCCTAGGCTACAACGACCTCACCGGGTGAGGCGAGCGAGGGCTAGCCTCGCCAAATCTGGCGAGGCCGACCCTTGCCTAGGCCACGACAGCCTTGCCCGCTTCGCTCGGCATCGCTTGGTACAAGGCGACGCCCGACGAGGCCACCGTAGCTTGGGCGAGGGTCGGCCTTGATAGATTTGGTGAGGCTAGCCCTCGCCAGCCACTGCCTATGGCCGATGGCCATTTGTCAACAATCGGCAAAAAGAAAAAAAAAAGAAAGGAAAATAAAGAAAAAAAATCAAAAAAATTATAAAAAAATTCAAAAATTGTTAAAATATTATTAAAAATTGTTCATGTCAACGCTGACGTGCCACGTGCCCAGGCAAGGCAGGCGAGGGTTGGCCTCGCCAGGCTAGTTCTCGCTGGCCAAAGCGACAAATGGGTGACCTGTGGCTGGTAGCCATTCGCCAGCCATCGGGAAAAAGAAAGGGATAAAAAGAAAGGAAAAAAAGAAAACATCAAAAAAATTATAAAAAAAACTAAAATATTATTAAAAATTATCCACATAAGCGCCAACATGCCACGTAGGACGGTTGATATCCATGTCAGTGATTTCCGATCAAAATTAACCGAATGGACTCAATTAGTAAAATGTAAAAATGTAAAAATGTTTATGACTCAATTGGCAAAACTAAAAGGTTTATGACTTAATTGGCCAAAGCACAATTGGTTTAGGATTTTTTTGGATAATTTTCCCCATGAAAAATTGATAGCTACAACAACTCCATCATCAAATTCACGAGCACACGACCGATATTAGATGTTTGTCATGTCCAAAGTGGTGGTGGCGGGATAATGGCATCAAAGTGGCAAAGATATGAGGTTTTGTGTATGTATCTAGTAATGTCAAGGTGCAACGACATTCTTACCTCACAATTTTAGTCATCAATCTGATTGTAGGTGAAATATAAACGTCTCACACGCAAAAACACTCTGTTTTGGCAAAAATACTTAGCCAACTCTCACTTTTCTCTTTGACATGCGCAAGTCACTTGCCCATTTGAATCATCCCCAAATTAGAAACATTAGGGTAAAGAAGAGAGTTGCAAGCATATTCTTCATTGAATGGGACTGTACTATGAATTTCCCCTTCTAAGACATTTTTAGGGCCACAAAAAAAGAGGGTAGGTGAAGTGTTAGGGGACTATTGCAGAGCAAAAATGAAAATGAGTTTGTGATTTTCTTGATGTGAAATTGGAGAAAAAAGGACAATGTGAGTTGACTATTTTGCCCTTACTAGTGGATGGAAGGTGCACCTGGCGGCACCCATCAAATCCAGAACGATCAGAAGCCCAAGATGGAGTTTTGGGTCTGATTGAGACCAAAAAAGAACAAAGTGTATGGTGTTAACATAGACAAAATAAGTTACCAGGGTCGAGTGACATAATCATGAAAGTGTATTTGGAAAATTTGAATTACCCAACTTATTCTACAGGTTAAAAAGTAATTTTCCACTGATTTGTAATAGCTAAAGAGATGTGAAAATAACCTTCTCTTATGAAAAATTATTGAACTTAATATAAGACTTACGTAGTGTGATCACTAATTTATTGAAATTTATTTTCCATTTGAAAAGTCACTAACCATGCGTTAAATTAGGTTGAAAGTAGTTTTCCCTTAAAAAATTATCAATCACTCAAAAACAGTTACTAGTTAATCAAGTCATACACAATTACAAGAAAGGTTACTCAACCTACATTAGTCCAAAAACTTAATAAAACCAATACTTTTTTCACATAAAAGTTACTAATCATCTACAGAAATTGTTGCTTACCTATAAATTGTTATGAAAACTTACTAGTCATGTAAAAAAAATTTACTAAATTGTTACTTCTGATATGTTGAAAAATTTATTGTTACGGAAATTCACTAGTTACATAAGAAAAAATAACTAGTGACTATAGACAGATTGGTAAATGCTTACTTTCCTAATATGAAAATCTTTAATTTTATATATATATATATATATATATATATTGATTGATTCTGTCCAAATAGCAAAATGAATAGAGCCTAGATAAGTAATTCCAAATTTTAAATACGATCCGCTCACTTGGCTCGGCCAAGCTCTTTTAAACCCAATCAATTTAAAAAAATAAGACATAAAATACAGTAACCTTTTCATTACGAGGGATCCTAAATGAGAATTTTAAATACTTAAAGGCTACATTTGGTAGTCAGGATAAAAGTTGGGATATGATAAAATTTATCCTATCCCATGTTTGGTTCTGCTCAAGATAGAATAAAGTCGGATATAAAGGGGATATAGCCCGAATAAACATATCCCATGGGGAAAGTGACATAAAAGTGAATATGATTTCTTATATCTATGGCATAAAAGCTATTTCTTTTGCATAAGAAACTTCTTAACTTAATAAAATTTAAAAAATCATTAAGTATAAAATAATATTTGGGTTCTAATATAAAAAAAGAAACTTCAAAATAAGAAAAAATATAATGGATAATTTGTTTATTTATATATTTAAATTTCTTTCTATTCTATAATATATATATTCTGTATATGTGTAGTATCTATATCTGTTACATGTTTTAGGTAAATTAATATAATTTATTCTTTAATAAAAATTTTATGAGGGAATGATCGAAGGGAATAAGAAAGAAATAAAAAAGAGAGGAAAAATAATTTAACAAATAAGTAAATAATAATGAAGTAGAAAAACCCCAATTTCAAATAAACAAATTCAAACTTGAAACGAATCTTTCTAATTCACTCCGTCTCTTTCTACAGCGTATCTCTGGTTCATGTTGAAGCTTAATGATTCCTCCAAAGTTCTTTTTTCACGTCAAAGCCCCATGAAAACGGTGAGAAAGTCGAAGCTCCTTCTCCATAGCTCTCTAGTTCACGTCAAAAGTCCATGAAAGTAGCAAAAGAATAGAAACTCTTCTTTTTCGTATGTTTTCTCTTTTTTACTGGATTTGACGTTCGCTAGCTGATCTACCTTATCGATATTGTTGTAGTCGGTTTACATTTATTGTCATTGTCAAACCTATTTAAGATGTAGATTGTAGAATAATTATGAATTGATTGATGGAGGTTATCTCCATTTGTGCATTGTGATTTCTTTAGCAATGAATCATGAGAAATTCTTATCATTTTCATTTGTACATTTTCAGGTTTATTTACATCAATATGCCATTCATACCAAATAATGGATATGATCTGATATGTAAATATCTTGTTTTATTATTGCGATTCATCAAACAGTGAATCTGATATAACAAAATTAATTTATTTTATACCCTACCCTATCCTAACTAGAAATCCAAACGACCAAATGTAGCTAAATAGAACCGATTGGCTTATTGCTCGGGTTTATTACAACAATTAACGGCGAATCCGGGTCAGCCCTATCGAGAGAAGCGGCCGGACCGTGAACCGTGCATGACGCCGGGGACAAACTCTGAAGTCTCAAGTGCTTTTCACACTACTCGGTTCGCACCTTATCTCCCTTCTTTCACGCCGAAACGACAGCGATGGCTCAAGTCGGAAAGCGTCCAAAAGGCAGAGTCCCCCTCCGACACGTCCTTTCCGACACGTCCTTTCGTTCCACTTCCCTCACCGTCCCCTCCGTCGTCGCCCCGTGCGAATGGATGGAGAGAGAGTTGGGACGATGACGATGTGATGTCGGTGCACACGACTTGACCCACCACTCGGTCTTCGTCCCTCGGTCTCATCTCACACAACCCGCATGCTGTAACGAGTCACTGAAGACGTGATGTCCTGTCGTCGTCGTCGTCCTCATCCCTTTCCTCCTCTCGCGCGTGGCTTGACAGGTGCAGTGGTGACTGGAAGTTGGCGTGGGATTGACTTTCGTAACTCGAGTCGTCCGCAGCCTCTGAGACGACGAATAGGTGGAGAAAGATAAGGGTTCCAGTAATTGCGGTTTTAGGGAGAAATTAGAGATCTTTTGTGGTTCTTG